CAATGTTTTTGTGGCCTCTTTTTCATACTGAAACTGTGCACGTGAAGCAAGGCCAATCAAACGCAACGAACGGTTCCCAGTTCTTATATGCCTACGGAATTCATTAGGATTGAGAAATCCTTTAACTTTATGAAACAAATGTCCACTGAATATTTTTTTCAGATCAGGGTGGTTTCCCGGTTTGTAATTTTTTAAAACTTTAAAGTGCTGCATTAAAGAAGCTTTTTCATATCAAATACGATTCAGTCGGTAGTGCAACCAATACTGAGATGACTGTGAAAAGCTCAAGAAAGTTTCTCTGACTGTCAAGACGTTACCTAGAAGTTAAAAACAAAAAAAGTTCTTCAAAAACTTGATTTTGAATCATAACTTTGGAAGTCATTCTGAAATCGCATGTTTGCTATTGATGAGATTGCAGGAATGGCGCTTTCAAATAATTGAGAGAAAAATTAAAACAAGAATTGAAAAAATTTATCGTTGCGCGTGCTCTTTTGAGGAATGACTAAAAGCGAGACTAAAGCTTGTTAAAATTTGTAGCTTGCTGTCTGCGGTTTGCGTTGTCAATTTTCTAATTTATGTTTTGCTGTAAAGAAGTAATTTTTTTTTCGTAAACTTTTATGCTTTTGTAGTAATTGTACTTCACCGTATCTCTGTTGTTTCTCCATTTCCTACAATGCTTCGTATTTCACTGCACAGTTATGGAGAATCAACGTTACTGCAGAACTGTAAGTTTAATTATTCAAAGTGTGCAATTTTCTTGTATATCTACTTCTGATTTTCAAAATGCTTACTCGCTGTGCTCGGTGTTAAGATATGAATAAATTTTAAATTTCTGCTGGTTGGCCTGTTTACATTATGAAATTTTAAGCAATTGGTTTTATTCCCGTTTGCTGCATCTGAAAGCAACAATCTAGAATACTTTACCAACCTTTTTGCTGTTTGCTCTATTTAACAAAATAGGCAAGACTTTAACGCAGTGGAAATACTTACAGTTCAAACCAGAATTGAAGTATTTGCTGCTGCTGTACATTGTTTTTCATAGAAGTTAGAAATTTGGAAAAGCGTACATCAGCGCAGTTGAAAGACGTATAAACCTTACGCGACAGTCAAAATACTAGAAAAATTTTCAATTTTTGTCATTAAGAAAAGTAAGAAAGACTTTGAATTTATTGGTGCCAGATGAAAAAAAAAACAGATACAGTAGACGGGGTAATCCATAGCAGTAAAAATTAATGGTTTTGGGTAGTATAAACTTTTCAGCGTTAATGTGGCCATCCACTTTTAATTATCTAAAACGACACCTAACTGTATCACTCCTCAGTTGCTGGTTGGCAAAACATTTAGTGTCTTGTCTTGTTCCTCTTGTTCTGCAGTAGTTTGAAAAAGAAAATTCTCGCGAAGTAAAGAAGCAGCAGTGTTTTTTTTTTTTTTT